ACAGGAAGGGGGACAACAAGGCAGCCAAGGCCATCACTCAAAGGCCTGAAAAGGAGGAGGGCTGAGAGAGGGGAGCACAACTCTTGGGTGCTCAGATGACAGCGGGCAGCACAGTTGTTGTTCAAGGCCAAGGTTGTTCAAGGGATGAAGCAATGGAGAGGGGAGGGTAATGAAATGCCCAGAAACCAAAGCACATATCCCTTTCCTCCAGTGTCCTGGCTATCCTTCCTGACCTGAGCCCATCAAGTGTATAAATAGTGTGAAAAGACTACAAATAACCCATACACCAAACTGGCATCAATTTCCATCTTTCCTATGGTTTCAATTTTATTTTTACTGCTGTCTTGTTCTTAATCTCTTCGCAAGCACAGCACAAAAATAATTTCAACTCTACGCTACATATTCAAGTAGATATTAACTATTACTTTAGATTTTATACCTAAGCAAACTATCAAATCTCCTTAGTATTATCATCCAGTGACTGTTAAAATACACAATAAAATTTCAGAGCATTAAGTCACATATGCTATGTTAAAAATACCATCTCTGCAGACATCATAAGTACAATTTTGGGCACATTTCAAAACTAGGATTGGTGTCACTAAAATATCCCAAATGTCAAGATGGTATCAGATTTAATGTCCCAAACTATATGATTTCTTGGTTTATGCTCTCTCTTGTCTATACACTCATCACCTTGTAGAAGGTTCCAGCCTACAACTCCCAAGGAAGCTTTGATTATACAAATGGTGTAGAGTATCACTATGTATAAATACATATTGATAGAAGTTGTAGTTGTTATGGACAAGGCCAATGATTTATGATGCTCTAAACTGCCTACAACCATGCTCTTCTTCCCTTTTTCTTCCCTCTTTACTCCTGTTTCCCTTTCTTCCAGCTTTCTTACATTTATCCATCAAGATAGGAATAATGGCTTCATTTCAGTGTGCTTGCAAGTACTGTATTTTAGGCATGGTGCTGTCTGCCACATTAAAGTTAATGCATAATACAATATAAGAAGGAAAATAAATCCAAAGAGACTTCAAAGACACTATGATTAATATTGTTTTTGCTTAAAAGTTATCACAGGTGTAACATCTGTCCACAAATGACCCCTCCCTTGTATCTGCATGGAAAGAATATTCACTCCTCATTCTCATTGCAATCAAAAGCACAGAATTCTGAATGACAACCATTCTTTACTTTATATGTAACTAGTACTAAGCCTGAGTTCTTGTGTAGGGCTCCCAGTTTTGAAATCCACCAATGGAAGACTCAGAAATGAGCCCATAAAAGCAGCTTCGGTGAGCAGTAGACCTATGATTCCCCTCCCACTGCTGGCCAAAGTCAGTATCCCTATCATTAGCCAAGCCATAACATAATTGTATTAATACTCCTTATGTGTGGGCAGATACTAAGCAATAACTGAATGTATCACATCATTGCAAAAATGAAAAAAGTACCAATGCCTTTGTCCCATTTTAGCATAAAATCAGTGAAAACAGTCTTTAGAAATGACACTGCACTAAGAAACTGAAAGCTGTTATTACTCTGTAGGTATATGTTCAAACTGATGATTTGACATCTTCAACTAGAACAAAAAATAGCACTATATTTTGCTACTGAACTCCAATTGGGAGCTCATTTAATCTAATTTCTTTTGGTAACATTCAGTTCAATTAAAGGATACACTGTTACTTAAAATAGTCTAATTAGATGAAACTCTGCCCCGGTACCCATCTTTCAGTGTCTACAATAGAACTATGCTTTCAGCTGTAAGAAGTGAGGCTGTTTCCTTCAGCTTACATGCTTCTGGCCAGTCTTGAGCTTCATTGCTCTTTCAAAAGCTGACCTACATAGAGTGTGCACCACGCCACCGTTCTGCGGTTTATATAAGGGAAGGGATACCTCTCTCACTTGCTGTAACCAACATCATTTGCCTTGTTCCCCCAATAGGCTGTGTGGACATGAAGGCCAGATTGCACTGTGATATGTTCATCATGCACCATGCTCACAAAAGAGCATTGGGTTAAACTGCTTCCAAATGTGCCTCCTACGGAGTTTATTAACTGGAAAATCTAAATAGTGCTTTGGCAAGGTACAGAGCAGCGGGGCTGGGAAGTGTCGGCAAAGTAAAACAGCCACATTTCAATTCAGAAAAGCTCAGCGAGAGGATATTCATTTTCTCAATTAGGGTCTCTTCTGACATTGAGAAAAAAATGCCACTGGAAAACTATATTAACAGCTGTGAGATACCAAAGCACAGAAAGTTATGGTTCCTCTGGGACTTAGCTCAACAACTTTAAACACTACAGTGTTGACAGGTTTAAAATAAAGATAATTAGTAATTTATGATCTTATCAACCTGTTAAATACAAAAAAACTTAACAAAGTAACTGTTATTTCTAATAAGCTGCAATTCATTACATCTCAGAAGGAGAACTGGAAGATTCTGTAATCTTGTCTCTATAGGAAGTCTGATCCAAGTTGGGGTTTGCTAAACATACACAGAGCCTTTGCAAACTTCTCCCCTTCTCCCACCTCTCTGCACATCACTGCAAGATGAGCACTAATTGACTCAGTCCCAAGCAACTCAAACAGTGGGTTGAGGCAGGAATTTTATACCAATGCAAATCACGATGGAGTAGGAAACAAGTGTCTGGGCTTTGTGGGACCTTCAAACCTTCTCAGTACATTTAATGCAATCAGGGATCAGTGACAAATATATTTGATAGACTGTGACACAGGGTTGGGCAGGAGAAGAGTCCCTGGAGAAACATTTCCATGAGGTCTTTTTCTCCTGGAAGAAGCAAGTCTTATGACTTTGCATTTTTAAAAATCCATTATTCCCTGTGTAAGTTAAATAGAAGACTTGCAGCTAGTCTATAGAAAGGATGGCTAATTTGCATTTAAAAAGAACAGTTGCTTCTTACACACAGGGTGACTTAAAAGGAACTTCAATGAGCTGGTAAAGAAATGGTGAAGACTTTCAAAATTAATTTATTCAACTCACAGCACAACCCTCTAAAATTATTTAAGGCACTTAATTGGGAAATGATTTAATATATTGAAGTAATTCCTGATTTTCCAAAGCATTTAACTTTTAAATTAAATCTGACCCTACTTTCACAAGAATGACGAGTGAAATGTGTATTCAAGTCATTACCTTCTTTTTGGAGCCTAAACTCACTGGTAAATGTAATAAGGCTTGTATAGTTTTATTGCCAAAAATGGTGCTGAGTTTTTGATTCTGGTAGCAACTACAAAACAGGTCTTTAATCTCCAAGACAGACCTGCAACTTTAAAGAAAAAAGCAACAGTATTCTTGTTATAAAGCAAAATAAAGAGCCACAAGCACAAAACCCTGGGCTTTAAAGTCAGCATCGATTTGAGACTGTAAGAACTCTGTTTACCAGCAAACAGTAAAACTTCATCACACATACTCCTCTGTGTCTCCTGAAGTCCCTTCCAACCTTCCAACTTGTCTCTGGCTCAAGAACTCTCTGTGTGTTTGAATCTTTCCATCCCACCCGCTTCCCTCACTCCTAATCTCCTTCATACACAACCCTTTTACTAAGTGAACAAGGTACCCCAGTTGCTCCTCCAGGGGGTAATGCCTCACAGCGCCCCCCTCCCCGCTGTGTGTGTGTGTGTGTGTGATGATCAAAACTGAGTGCTGAGAACTACTAGTGTGTCTCATGTTAGGGAGCCCAGGGCCGGGGGGGGGGGGGGAGAGGGTGTTGCCCATTAAACATCTCTACATAACAAGTTAAAATGATGACTCCTCAGGAAATAAATGTTGGGAGTACCAAGACTTTTCCAGTGGAATTCACCTACAGGTCAATGAGATGTGCCTGAAGGGACTAGGAGACTCTTGGGGGGAGGCGGGGGTGGGTAACATCAAGGAAGAACCGAGAGTCCAAAAGGCCCACCACGTTTTTTTTCAGAGATCTCTACCCACAAACCTCTGTCAGCCAGGACTACTTATGCCTCCAACAAGACCCAGGCAAGGACAGCTGTGGCCTGTGGCTGCTCCTGGGAGCTAATTCTTTCTTGTACCTCTTGGGTCTTTGCATGCATGAAGCCAGGAGAGTAATGACCTCCTTAGAAACCCCTAACTACCCTATCCTTGGGCCAAGCCGAGCTCCGGAGCAGCTTCGGCCAGTGTCCTCATTCTGGGTCACCACGGTTTTTTCCTGTCCCGAGTGGCCCTTGCACTGGTGATCAGCTAACTATGGTGTAGCCCAGCTTCAGCCTGGGGACCAGAATCAGAGCTCTACACTTGAACGCAAAGCGCGCTACCTTGGCTTTCAGTAAACTTGTTATTTCCGCGCACCGCAAACGGGAGCTGTTCCCCTAAATCATAATCCGACTAGCCCACTGCTCCCTGGGCCACAAGGGTCAGCGTCGGAACTCCGACTCTGCTGCCGGAACAGAAAACAAAAGAGTTATAGAATAATTTTCACGGTGAGGGAACGCCTGAGCCTCAGGGGTCCCGGTACCCCGACTCCAGGCTGCTCCTCTGGCAAGTGATCGGGAGCAAGGAAGCGATGCCATGAGCTCCCGCTGCCCAAGAAAGGGAAGGAAAAGAAGGAACTAGATAATAAACTGAATTCTCCTACTCTGCCTCAGTTCCCGGACCCCAGACACACCCCCAAAGTATTCCGTGTGTTCTCTCTCGATCGCTCGCTCTTTTTGAAATGTCTCCCGGAAAACCTAAGCAAGGATCCTTAGTGGCGAACAGCAGGAAGGAAAGAATCCGAGCAAATCGTGTCACTTTCCGCACAATCGCGTTGTTTGGCAAACCCCCGGAGCTGTTCCACAATATTTACTACCCGAGCGCACGCAGCGCCGCCGCGGGTTGCGACCGAGCGCGCCCGGGACGGGCCTCCGGGAGCCGGCCCAGTCCGCCCTGCCGGCCCCAGCGCGGCCCGGCCACCGCCGCCCCCCTCCCGGGATCGAGCCGCCAGAATCGGTGCAGACAAAAGCAGAGCGTTCACCTTGTTGCAATAGTAGGGGTCCAGGCAGGGAGAAGGTCCCAGACAGGGAGCGGCGGGAGCAGCAGCGGGCTGGGCTGGAGGTGGATAAAATCTTACGTCCATTTCACTCTCACATCAAGCAACTCCTTTTCTTTTCCTTTTTGAAAAAAAAAAAAAAAAGTGCTCAGCAGAAAACAAGCTTAGACGGAACAGAGAGAGGCGTCTAGGCTCAGGAGTAAAAGAAACACCTTCCTTCCCTCACATCCGTTTGTGGTTTGTTTAAGAAGAGGAGGAAAAAAAAAAAAAAAAAAAAAAAAAAAGAAAAAGAAAAAGAAAAAAAAAAATAGAGGGTGGAAAAGCGCTCAACTCTCCCCCCCGAAGCCGCGGCGCGCACCCATCCACGCCGAGCGCGCAGCCTGCCTGGTCCGCTGGGCCCCAGCGCTCTCGGCCCCGCCGCTGCCGGGCAGGTAACTTCACGCGCTCATTGTCCCCCCCGCCCGCCACCCCATCCCCGCCTCCCGCGCCCCTCGCCGCCCGGCACTCGCGCTCGGGCTGGAGGCACTGGGCGTTTTATTGGAGACTCTCTCTTATTCTGCTTTTAGTTTTTCTCCACGGTAGAGGCCTGGGATGAGGGAGTGAGGGGACCCAGGAGAAGATTGGGACCGGGGTGTGGGGGGGGGACTAGCCGCCCCGGGGCGGGCGGGGTGCCGACAGCGGCGGGACACGGCCCAAAGGCTGCTGCTGGGGGCCAGGGACCCGGGGAGGGAGGAGCGCAGGGTGCGGAGGAGGGGAGCGCTGCCCGAGCAGTAGTGGCGGGACCCCGGGGCAGCGTCCGCGGTGGCCCAGTCAGCACCTCCGGATGGGTGCAGTGGAGGTGGATAAAATCACACAAAGGGGCTGGAGAGTCGGAGCACCGGCGGACTAGGGCACCGCAGGGAGCGCGCAGCAAGGGGGCGCTGTGGCGCACCCCGCCCAGCAACCCTCAGCCCCTCCCCCCGACCCCCCCCCCCCGCTCCACCCCTTTCTCTGAGCCCCTCCACCACTTACTCCCGCCCCGAGTAGCTGCACTGACATCCTCTACTCCCCGCGGGAGGTGGAGGGGAATGGGCTGCGTGGTGATGCTCCGGGTTCCGCCTGGAGCACGACCTCTGCGCGATGTGAGTGGGCAGCCGTCCAAAGGACCCTAGTTGATCTCAGGGCAAGGACCAGTGTTCCTGGGGTTGGTGCTCAGTGGGCTCTGCACCAAGCCTTAGTACTCTGCAGGAGGGTTTGCTGCCTTGGGTACTCACAAAAAGACCCCAGGGGTGCTTGGAGGGGTAAACAAGGAAACAGTTATCAACACACCAAGGGCTACAAGGCACACTCTGGGTTTATTAGTTGCCTCTTGAAATTCTTTCATGGCTGGACTCCCAATAGTTCTCCCAGAGGCCCCATCCCCACGCCACCCTCCAGGACCTGAAGTCCCCTTTCCATTTCTCTCTGTCAGTGGCATAAGAATATAATCAACATTTTAATTTACTCCGTTAACCCCCCAAACTTGCAATATCGTGTCCCCTGCATCTGGGAGAGTTTTAGGGTACTTTGTCACTGTCCAGCAGACATCCTATACTGCCTGCCTGGAGAAAGTCCTCAGAAGGAAGTCAAAGTAGGAGTGGGCAATGTTTACCTTTCTAGAGTAAGTTCCTTGCTGACACACACACCTTAGGTGCCTAATACCCTGCAAAGAAGCCAAAAGCTCATTCCCACAAGTTTCTGGAGCTAAAGAATATATGGAAACCGACTTGTTGTTCCCATACTCTTTTAGAACATGGTGAGTAGCCAGCTCTCTACTGCTTTCTCCCCACAACTCTCCCCTCCCCTCCCCATAATTATAACCACCAGTCAAAGACCTGGGAAAACTACTAAGGGTGATGACTTAGCATCCTCCAGCCTCTGCTCTAGGCAGACACCTTTGAGAACCTGTCCTCAGACATTGCTTTCCACCCTGGGCAGCCCCTTTCTCTTAAGCCACTGTCTTCCCTTTTCCAGGTAGTAAGAACACAGCTTCTTACCCCCAGACAAATGTGGTGGAAGCTGAAGTGAGAAAAAAGAAGACAGGAAGGGTTTAACTCTACATTTAAACCTTGGAGACACAAAATAAGAGCTAGAGAGTGTGGCCTTTCTTGTGAAGTAAAGGTCTTTGTAATAATATTTACATGAAGTTTTGTGGTTCATAACATTAACTTTAAAAATTATATGTAGATTTTAAAATCTGTGTGTGTCCTTCCAGGGTAATAAAAAAGGATCTTAGGTTTCAAGGGAACATATCTAAGCTTAACTTTTTGTCATCAACACAACAGGTATTTATTATCAACAAATGGCATCATATAAAGTTTGAGGTTTATAAACTTAGGATTCATAGTCAACTTCTGTTTGGTTCTGTGAACACCAGAAAAACTGACCTGTCCTAGTAGCATAGACATAATGGATGTGTCATACCTACTTCTTTCCACTGCTTTTATGGAGACCCCCCAATGCAAGGGACCTGTGTCTCACCACTGCAAACAATCAGCAACCTGATTTCTTTCACCGGAAGTGTATGGAGTCTAAGTGGGTTGCTTGAGCTTTTCACTGTAAGGAATTGCAGCTATTGGGAGGAAAGAGCTTTAATCACTAGATACTTCAACAGCAGAGTATGGTCATCTCAATACAATAATTAAGAATACCTGCAACTTCATAACATCCTACCCAAGGTCTGAATGGTAATATTCCATTCCACTGGAAGGAAATTTGAATAGCTACACCTTGAAGTAAATATTACTTGAAAAGTGAAATAGTTCTCTTCATAGTATGTTAAGTTTCTCATTCATTTCTCCAGTCATTTATTTGTATAGAGCTAAGCAAAGACAGAGAGCCATACAAAGCTGTATATGGCTTTGAGGAGGAAAAAAGCAAAGCAAAGCAAAACAAAACAACAACAACAGAAAACACCACTTAAAGCAAGCAAATGAAAACTTATTTGTCTTACTTAGACACCCATCAAGAGGTGAATAGACAATGAAAATGTCTTTATACACATGTGCATTTTATGCAGCTGTAAAGGGAAAATGAAATCAAGAAATTTTCAGGAAAAATAGATGGAACTATAAAGTATTATAGTGAGTAACTCAAAAAGACAAAAATCACATATTTTCTGTCATGTAGACCCTAGCTTACAATAGTCACATGTATGTATAAACGTCAGAGTAAGCATGTGCACAGACTATGGAACTAGAAAGGAAACCAGGAGAGGATGGGACTTAGGAAGTGTTGAGGAAGCTGAGATGGCAACAGAACACAGGAGACAGGAAAACGGAAAAGTAGGGAGAGTGGAAAGACAAGGAGAGAGGCAGAGTCAGGGTGTTATGGGATGTGCAAGGCTGTCCTTTGTGCTGGTCCTCAGCACATCTAACTAACTGAGCATCACCACTGTAGGACACCTGCATTTGCCCAGCCCATTTGGAGATGGAACTTCACCACTCCCCAGTCTCTCCAAGTGAACATTCATGAACTACAGTGCATTCTTTAGGTTACAGTTCATCCACTGTGACTAGGAACTTAACAGACGCAGAGGAAATGTGTGTCCATGAGCAAGGCCTCTCCTTGCTCATATCAGTGTCTTAAGACCAATACTCTAGACTTGTAAGAACACCTATTATGTCTTAGATGAGATCTGAATATTTTTATGTTTAGTTTCACAATCTCATTTAATTATATAATTTTATAAATTTTATTAGAAAGCCTAATCAAAACACAGCCAACATTTGATTTTGCTGCCTCATGTTACCCATGTTAATTTTAATTATAGTTTCGTAAATTGTTGTCTTCAAATTTGCAGATGTTTGCAATGATCATGTTTCATGTTTAATGATCCTTTCTATTATGTGTGCAAGCCCTAAATCTTACAGGAATTTCTCCAAATCACATACAAAGAAGGTACAACTTTGGAGAAAATATCTCCTAGACAGCAAATCCTATCTGTGATTTATGAATGCTTTATAAAAACCATTCAATAGAAAATAGTGTTTTCTGTTGAGCCTTTTCTCTTGGAGTTTGTAGTTTCTTTTCAAAGGTAGAAGTCCTCTGTAGATAGACTATCAGAATAAACCACCACGTAGAGGGAATGACTGTGTAAAGCTAGGCATTAAAACCCAACTTCCACTGAGCTGGATTGCATAACTAAATCAGGACTCAGTTCCTTACTGACGTCTTCTGGCTATTGGGACAAGAGACTGGGGCTGGATGTTTCAGCATCTTCTCAGTAGCCCCAGGCACTTTAAAAGCCCTGGATCTGGCCCCTCATACTGCCCCTTGTACTGTAAACAATGTTGATGAGTGTGCACAGACTTGCATTGTGGGAGAAACTTAGTGTTTGTTTCATTCATTAGAATCTGACCCAACACTCAGTCCTCCACATTTTAAAGATTTCAAAAACATCATTAACGGTTTTGATGGAAACTTTTACATTTTCTCAATTTATTGGTTAGAACTCACTGCTGTCCAGGGTTTTTAACATTTTTTTTCCTAAAGTAATTTAAATGTAAACTAGAATGATGTGCAATAAGTAATATCTTACAGTGGAGGAACAGAAAGCACTGAAGTTTATTTCCTGGGGAAACGAGTGAGAAATGACTAGAGTGTAAGTCTTTCAACCAGAAAATAAAGGATTTCAGAATGTTGAGAAAAGTTTGAAGGAAATGCCACTGGGTGCACAGATACCTCACATGGCACTAAATGACTCATAAAATGTAGTATTTCTTACATAATATGGGAAGTGTGCCATGCATGTACATCTCACCATTGAGTGTGGCACAGTACTTTGATCTTCAACCATATACAACATTTGAGGCATAATGACGGTAATAGGACTATTCAGCTCTTTTACACTGCTATGATCCTGTTCTATCTCATCAGAATAACCATGAGGACAAATCCTTTCAAAATCAGAATTAGTTCCTTGTAGAAGAGTGAGACTACAATTATCCCTTAAATAGGAGCAGCTGCAACATAGTATGGGCCCAGAGCATGGCAGTGAAGTGTTTTTCCAATGCAATTAAGGAGATTTTTTTTTAAATGCAAACTAAAATTCTGTTAAAAGTCAATTGAAAGGTGAGTAGGTGTGGAATTTCGGAGATGAAAGCAAGAGTCATTTTGCTTACCTGAGTTAATATTCCTGCTGAGTAAATGTTATTTTGCTGAAAACGGATAATCAAGAATCACATTTTCCCATGAAATGAGGCCCCTGATGGAACTAGGGGATACAAGGGAAATATACTTTTGGTTTATCGGTGCATTGCACATCATAC